TTGTATTTTCATATTTGAGACGTGTTAGAATTTCATAATGTTGTTGTTGTTACTGGCGTGTGGTTGGGATGTGAATTTATTTATGTGAATTTATCCGAAGTTTCTATCATAGACTGAGGTGATAATTGTTTGTTCTGTTTTATAATCTGTTGTTTGTTGTTGTTATCGTTATTATTATTATTATTATCATTATATTATTATTATTATTATTATTATATTTATTTTCGTATTAATTTTCATTTCATTATTATCATTATCATTTGATATTATTATCGTTTATCATTATCATTTTACTTTTATCATTTATTATATTATGATGATTATCTTTATTATTATTTTGATTTATTCGTTGTATATACCTGAATGTTCTAAATATACCTTAGCCTAATATACGAAAAAAATTACACACACACACATTCATTCATTCACACATTCCACTGTGTGCGTTGTGTGTATTTGTATTTTATATAATAATGTGTATATATATAATATATATATATATATATATATATAATATATATATATATTATATATTATATAATATATATATATTATATATATATAATATATGTTGTATGTATATACACACACATATATACATACATATACATATATATACATATACATAACATACATACTATATACACATATATTATAATATATATATATATATTATATATATATATATATATATATATATATATTATATATAAACAGATAGATAGAAAGATGAATATTCTCCGCAAAATAGTTAAATAAAGCAGCAGAATAGCGAGTACACATTTGTATCTCGTTGAACAAAGGCCTTTGACGAGCGTGAACAGCCGCTCAGAGCCAGAAATGAAAAGGCATGTCATGGAACAGTGCCAGACGACGTGGCACCAATACATTAGATACAGTTTATATCTCCGTTTCACCCCCCCCCCCACCCCCAGCGCATGCCTGTTCAGCTGCAGATCCGTTCAGCTGCCGTTCAAACAAATGGCCTTATTTCGCTGAACCCTTTCGTTATTTTAATTAATTTTTAATTTTAATTTTGATTTAATTTTAAGTTATTTTAATTAATCGTTAATTTTGCCAATTTGCATCATTCTGCCGTTGCAGGAGACGAAGATAAGCAAGATAAGCCGGTTAATAGCGAACGTCCATCACGGGAGCCGGAGTAATGGTTGTGTAAACCGATTCTTGCGACGAAATTATTAGATTAGATTATGGCATCGAATTAAAAAAAAAATATGAAAAATATAAAAAAATTAAAAAAAAAAGATATGGATTGCGCCGGAAACACGAAATTATTTAGATTAGATTATGGCGTCGAATAAAAGATGTGGATGAATTAAAAAGAAGGTTGGATTGCGCCGGAAACAAAATTATTAGGTTAGATTATGGCGTCGAATTAAAAAAGATATGGATGAATTAAAAAGATGTGGATTGCGCCGGAAACGAAATTATTAGATTGGATTATGGCATCGAATTAAAAAAGATATGGATGAATTAAAACGAAATTATTAGAAATGGAGTGAATGGATGAAATTAAAGAATGGATTGCGCCGGAAACAAATATTATTAGATTGGAATCATTGGCGTCGAATTAAAAAGATATGGATGAATTAAAAAAAATATATGGATTGCGCCGGAAACGCAAATTATTCGATTAGATTATGGCGTCGAATTAAAAAGATGTGGATGAATAAAAAGATATGGATGATTATTAAAAGATGTGAAGATTGCGCCGGAAACGAAATTATTAGATTGGATTATGGCATCGAATTAAAAAAGATATGGATGAATTAAAACGAAATTATTAGAATGGATGAATGGATGAATTAAAAAGATATGGATTGCGCCGGAAACAAAATTATTAGATTGGATCATGGCGTCGAATTAAAAAGATATGCCATAAAAATTAAAAAATATATATGGATTGCGCCGGAAACGCAAATTATTCTTTCGATTAGATTATCTTGGTCGAATTAAAAAGATGTGGATAGAATTAAACAGATATGGATGAAATATAAAAGAGGTGGATTGCGCCGGAAACAAATTATTAGATTAGATTAAATGCGTCGAATTAAAAAAGATGTGGATGAATTAAAAAGATGTGGATTGCGCCGGAAACAAAATTATTAGATTAGATTATGGCGTCGAATTAAAAAAGATGTGGATGAATTAAAAAGATATGGATTGCGCCGGAAACGCAAATTATTCGATTAGATATGGACCGTTGGAAAAATAAAAAGATGTGGGAATGAATTAAAAAGATATGGATGAATTTAAAAAGAATATGGATTGCGCGGAAAACGAAATTTATTAGATTGGATTATGGCGTCGAATTAAAATAAAAGATGTGGATGAATTAAAAAGTGGATTTGAATTAAAAAGATATGGATGAAATTAAAAAGATGTGGATTGCGCCGGAAACGAAATTATTAGATTGGATTATGGCGTCGAATTAAAAAAGATATGGATGAATTAAAAAGATATGGATTGCGCCGGAAACAAAATTATTAGATTAGATTATGGCGTCGAATTAAATAAAAAGATATGATTAGATGACATTAAAAAGATATGGATTGCCGGAAACGAAATTATTAGATTAGATTATGGCATCGAATTAAAAAAAAGATACGGATGAATTAAAAAAGATATGGATTTGGCCGGAAACAATTATTAGATTGGATATGGCGTCGAATTAGATTATGGAAATAAATTAAGATATGGAATGAATTAAAAAAGATATGGATGAATTAAAAAGATATGGATTGCGCCGGAAACAAAATTATTAGATTTGGATATGGCGTCGATTAAAAAGATATGGATGAATTAAAAAGATATGGATTGAATTAAAAAGATATGGATGAATTAAAAAGATATGGATTGCAACGGAAACAAAATTATTAGATTGGATTATGGCGTCGAATTAAAAAAGATATGGATGAATTAAAAAGATATGGATGAATTAAAAAGATATGGAATGATCCAACGGATTGAGGGAAACAAATTATTAATTTAGATCATGGCACGAATTAAACAAGATTGGATGAATTAAAAAGATATATGAATTAAACAATATGACGATGAATTAAAAAGATAATGGATTTTTTTAAAAAGATAATGGATGAATTCAAAAGATATGGATGAATATAAAAAGTATGGAATGAATTAAAAAGATTGATAACGCTTACGAATTCTACTCTCTAAGCTAACGTAATTGAAGGTGTCAACGGACCATCGGATAATGGTTAACTACACGAACAAACAAACAACAAACCAAAACGGACAATCAAACAAACAAACAAACAATTTAACAAACGGGCCATTAAAAGCCAGAGGGATCGAAATACATATTAACATCTCTACATCCGGTTTATACAACGCACTTTATACTCTAAAATACTTGTCATATCCCTTTACTAATGATATAGTTAAAACCGAGTGTTATCTAGAATGACGTGTCTATATGCATATAAGGTTGTTGGCAGTTATTTGAAGCTGTGTGTATCTGTCGTTTCGTTATAGCGTCCATTACGTGATGCGGAACTAAGGTGAATTCTATTACGCGAACGGTGGCTAGATAGGCAAAAATCAGCTTTATGGTAATGCGATATAGGGCTCATAAGGGTCGTACGTATTCCTCGCTTAGGATGACCTAATGCGAGAATGTTAATTTACGTAGCTAAGGATTTGGTCGTGAATTCCTTTGATGGTGTAGCGAATATGTCCCGTTTTATTGTAATTTGAATAAGTTTTATTGCAGTTTTATCGTTTATGACGTTGTTTTATATTCGGAAAACTTATTGGTTCATTTAAGGACAGAATCATTTATTCGCTCAATGTATTTAATGACATTTTGTTTCATTTTCCCATTTTTTATCATATTTTTTTTTTTACATTTCAACGTATATCCAAACACAAGGGATCATTTTGATAAAATATTTATCATCATCCTCGGAATAATGATAAAATGTAATAATAAAAAATCCTATCTCCACTACTTAAAAAAAAAGGATATTAAAGAGAAATTAAAAGAGTAAGGTGAACCAATTTTCTACCTGGGTTACCTAATTACCTTATTAAATCACAGGACCCGGATGGTCGGCTATATAAAGGAAGTTTTTTTTACGCTTCGGAAGCACTCTCGACTTCACGGCACCATAGAAACATTTTTTTTTTTTTTTTTTTTTTTTTTTTTTTTTTTTTTTTCGTTTTGAGTTAGGAATTACTTGGAAACCGAGATCGCCTAATATGGTGAAGTAAAATTAGATGCAAGTCGTATTTCTATATATATATATATATATATATATATATATATATATATATATATATATATATATATGAATCTGGTATAATTAGATGAATTCGGTGAATTAATCTTAGATGATATTTTTTGGAACCTTGTTAAATTTCTTTAGAAATTGATTTAATGAAATATCATGGAAATAAAGGTGTTTATAAAAGGAATTCGTATAAACACAGATGAAAATGCTCATCCGTTACCATGTTTATGTATTTTGATAGGATAAAAAAAACGCAATGTCAAAAAAAAAAAAAGAAAAATAGATAACCAATAACACCCAGAAATAAAATCACAACTAAACACAACCAAGAAGAAAATTCAGACCAACCAACCACCAAAAAAAAAAGAAAAAAAAAGTCAATCAACCAATCCCTATAATAGAAAAAAAATGTTAACCACCTCAAAAAAATAGATAAATAAACAACCACCAAAAAGTAAAAAAATAAAAAATAATAAAAAATGAAAATAGAACAAAAATAGAAAATAAAATAAGTAAATACAATAAAATAATGATAATAATAATAATGAAAATAATAATAATAATAATAATAACAACAACAACAATAATAAACAAGTCAACCATCCACTCACTCACGCCTCTTTCTCCCTTCTTCTCTCCCTCCACCACCACCACCCCACCCACCACGCCACGCCCACGCCCCCCACTTACAGTCGCCCCCGCCTACACCTGACGCTCGGGAGG